ACATTTCAGTCATCTGAAGCCCCCGGTTCCAGTCACATGATCCCCGTTTAGGGAAAGCTCTACCTCCCTACTCAGCAGGAAGTAGACACAGAAGATGGACCTTCACCCATTTCCCAGAGATTTTTGGGATCGAGGGTTCAGGGGGAAATATGATGTGGTTGAAACCTTGTTTATAACTCATTTTACAATTTCCAGGAGAACTCCACTCAGTCACATGCCCCTACTTACTCAATCACCTCTGGCTGGGAGAGAAGGAATTTACCTCAGGAGGTGATGAATGACTTTAATCTCCTGCCTATGTGTTCCTTGAGGCATACATATCATACCTTGGAATGCAAAGACACATCTCATTCATCTGCCTGCATGCCCTAATCTTTGAGGCTAACCAGACCACCTAATACTTTCTCTTTTGACATTTGTATAGAATAGTAAAATAGCGGAGAATCATATATAATGGCCCCACACAGACACTTCCATGGCAGCAGCTCTTTACTGTCCATGGGTCCTGTCTCCAGGCTGAACACAAAATAAAGGTGCACGAACGAATGAGCGGCTCGCATCTGAAAATTCTTTTTCGACTGGAGACTCAGTGGCCCCACATGAGGAAGAGCTTAGTATAGGAGGAAGATCACTGAACTAGAAGTCATGAGATCTGCGTTCCAGCCAACTGTTACAGACTACCTAGGTGACACTGGGTGAGTCTTTGGAACTTCTCCAGAGGCTTCCTCTTGTGTTAAGAGAGGCCTGGAGTTCTATAAAACCTCTAGGGTTTCTTCTCGTTCTTTAACATATACCATAAATCTCACTCAGAACTTATCTTTTAAAAAGCTCCTAATTATTCCTTATTATAAATCTATTTCCATAAATTAGAATTTCTTAGAACAGAATACATTAGTTCCTTTAACACCAAGAACTTTAACACCTCTCAAAATAGGCAGGACATAAATATGTACGTTCAAAATACAATCAATTCTTAATATTCATGGATATGTACTTGCAAATTCATCTACTTGCTAAAATTTATTTGTAACCGCAAAATCAATACTTATGGCACTTTTGGGGTCACTCTCAGACATGTGCAGAGTGGAAAAAAAATTTTTTTTTTGGTGAGGAAGATTGGTTCTGAGCTAATATCTGTTGCCAATCTTCCTCTTTTTCCTGAGGAAGATTAGCCCTGAGCTAACATCTGTGCCCATCTTCCTCTATTTTGTATATGGGATGCCACCACAGTGTGGCTTGATGAGTGGTGAGTAGGTCTGCACCCAGGATCTGAACCTGCGAACCCTGGGCCACTGAAGCAGAGAGCATGAACTTAACCACCATGCCACCGGGCCAGCCTCCAGAGAAAAATTTTAGTTGTCTGATAAGTACTTTCCTAGCTGAGGATGAATGCGGCAACACTCTGCCTTCTTGTTTCAGCTCTCATGCTATACACAAGTGTCCTTCATGCAGTCTATTTAGTGTCATGTTTTTCATATTTTTGTGCTTTTTGTTGCCAATTTTTGTTGTTTAAAATGGCCCCCAAGAGTAATGCTGAAGTGCTGTCTAGTATTTCTAAGTGCAAGAAGGCCCGTGATGTGCCTCAAGGAGAAAATACATGTGTTAGATAAACTTCATCCAGGCATTAGTTATAGTGCTGTTGGCTAGGAGTTTAATGTTAATGAATCAACAACATATATTAAATAAGGTGCCTTAATATAGAAAGATACATAAGACAACGTCCTGTATTGATCAGTTTGACAAAAATGTTGTGACCAGAGGCTGGCAGGAACCTAACCCTGTTATTTCCCCTAGGACCAATGGTTCAGTAGTCACTAATTTGGTATTTACGGTGACTATATAGAACATAATGATGATGAACTAGACAAGCTGAATAGACCTATAACAACAAGTGAAGAGATAGAATTAACTGGTAATCAAAAAAGTACCCACAAAGAAAAGCCCAGACTGGCTTCATCACTAAATTCTACCAAACATTTAAAGAAGAATGGATACCAATTATTCACAAACTCCTTCTAAAAACAGAAGAGGAAGGATCACTTCTCAACTCTTTTTATGAAGCCAGTATTATCCTGATACCAAAACCAAAGACATCACAAGAAAACTACAGACCACTATCTCTTATGAATGTGGATGTAAGAATCCTTAACAAAATTCTAGCAAACAGAATCCAGCAATGTGTAAAAAGAATTATACACCATGACCAAGTGGGGTTTATTCCAGGAATGCAAAGTTGTTTCATTACCTGAAAATAAATTAATATATCATATCATATCATATCAATAGAATAAAAACAAAAATCATATGATCATCTCAAGTGACAGAGAAAAAACATTTGACAAAATTCAACATGCTTTCAAGGATAAAAACACTCAACTAGGAATTGAAGGGAACTTCCTCAATCTGATAAAGGACATCCACAAAAAACCCACATCTAACATCACACTTAGTGGTGAAAGATTGGATGCTTTCCTTATAGTATCAGGAACAAGACAAGGATATACACTTTTTGTCACTTCTGTTAAACACTGGAGTTTTTAGCCAGGGCAAGTAGGCAAGAAAAAGAAATAAAAGAAATCCAGATTGAAAAAGAAGAAGCAAAACTATCTCTACTCTCAGATGACACAATGTTACGTAAAAAAAAAAATCCTAAAGAATCAACTAAAAACTATTAGAACCAATAACTGAAACAAGGTTTCAGGCTGTAAGATCAATATATAAAAATCAATTGCATTTCTATACACTTGCAATGAACAATCTGAAAATGAAATACAAAGACAATTCCATTCACAATAGTATCAAAAAGAATAAAATACTTAAGAATCAATTTAACAAAATAAGTGCAAATCTTATATCCTGAAAACTATAAAATTGTTGAAAAAAATTAAGATGATTTATACAAATGGAAAAACATCTCGTGCTCATGGATCAAAAGACTTAACATTGTGAGATGGCAATACTCCTCCAATTGACCTACAGATTCAACACAATCCCTATCAGGATCCTAGCTGACTCCTTTGTAGAAACTGACAGATTCTAAAATTCATATCGAATTGCAGGAGACCCAGAATAGCCAAAACAATCTTGAAGGATTCTGAAGAGGAGGCCTCACATTTTCTGATTTCAAAAATTACTACAAAGTAATGGTAATCAAGACAGTGTGGAACTGACATAAAAAGGAGAGACATATAGATGAAAAGAATAGAACTGGAAGTCTAAAAATAAAATCAAATGTCTGTAGTCAATTGATTTTTAATAAAAGTGCCAAGACCATTCAATGCGGAAAAGAATAGTCTTTTCAACAAATGGTGTTGGGACAACTGGGTAGCCACACACAAAAGAATAAAGTTGGACCCATACCTGAAAACATATTCAAAAATTAAATCAAAATGAATCAAAGACGTAAATCTAAGAACTAAATCATAAAACCCTTAGAAGAAAACATAAGGGTAAATATTCATGACCTTGGATTTGGAAATGAATTCTTAGACCAAAAGCATGAGCAACAACAACAAAAAAATAAATTGAGCTTCATCAAAATTAAAAACTTCCATACTTTAAAGGACACTATCAAAAAATAAAATTATAACAGAATGGAAGAAAATGTTTGCAAATCATATATCTGATGAGTGACTTGTATCTAGAATATATAAAGAACTCTTATGACTCAATAATAAAAAGACAAATAACCCAATTATAAAATGGGGAAAGAATCTGAATAGATATTTCTCCAAGAAAGATACAGAAATGGCCAATAAACACAAGAAATGATGTTCAACATCATTTTTCATCATGGAAAGGCAAATCAAAACCACAATAAGATACTACCTCATATTTGCTAGGATGGCTATAATCAAAAAGACACACAATTACAAGTGTTGACAAAGATGTAAAGAAAATGGCAACTTCATACATTACAGATAGGAGTGTAAAATGTAGCAGATGCTTTGGAAAACAGTCTGAAAGTTCCTGAAACAATTAAACATAGAGATACCATACAACCCAGCAATTCCACTCCTAGGTATATACCCAAGAAAAATGAAAATCTATGTCTACACAAAAGCTTGTACATGATGTTCAAAGCAGCATTACTCATAATAGCTAAAATGTGGAAACAACCCAAGCGTCCATCAATTGAATAATGGAAAAACAAAATGTGGTATATCCATACTATGGAATATTATTCTGCCATAAAAATGAATGAAGTGCTCCACACTCCACTGCAAACAGAATCAGTCCTTGGTAGAAGCAAAATTTCTGAGCCATCTAGAGCCAGGGGTGGGGACAGCTGCACACCTCTTTCTGAGCCTTATCCCAGTTCCAAAAGCTGAGCACTTGGTGGAGGGGGCGGCAACAGCCTCATGTCTTCTCAGCCTGCTTCTCTCAGTACGGAACAAGCACCTTACGAGCCAGGAGAACAGCGATTAGGGCCCCAGTTCTCTCAGTGGCAATGCACTCAACGTAGAACCTCCACCCCACCAATGAGGGTTGGGAGGAAGGGAACCCCCACCTCTCAGCCATACTTTGATATTTTCCTCAACAAACACTGACCAAGCTCTTACTGCGTGTAATAAATTATGGGAGATGTGTTGTATTGCTTGGCTTTGCTATCCTCCTTAGGTAGCACACAGAGAGAACCAATTAACTTCACATAAGTCAAGGAGATTAATCTACTATTTAAGCAGCAATGAATCAAATCATTATGTTGCACACCTAAAACTAATACAATGCTATACGTCAATTATATCTCAATAAAACTGAAAAAAAAGAAAAAGAAAAAGAAAATGTTTTCCAAATGTTTTCCAAATCAGATAGTTTCCAGAATATATGTTCCTTTGAATTATGTATGCCATTGCTTTTGGAGTCTGAGGATTACCCAAATTATAAATACCTTTAACTATTATTAACTAGTTCACCATTACGACATGTTAAAAAAATTATTTTTAGAAACTGATAAAATAAAGCAACAGGAGTGAATACCATCCTTCTGCCCTACTAACCTGCAAGACATTGCCTACAACGACACTGTCAACAATCTCAGGCGAGACTTTGCCAGCAGACAAGGCAGCCTTGGCAGCAAATTCAGTCAAGTCGATAGCTGTGAAGTCTTTCAGAAGACCTCCATAAGCTCCAAAGGGTGTTCGCTTAGCAGCAACGATGAACACACCTATTGCAATGAGGAGAAATTTGTAAGTAAGTACAGGTTAGTCAATATCCCTAACGTGCTTTAAATAACCTCCCTGTGAAAACTTAAGTACAACTTTCAATTAGATAACTGAAAATCGTTGTCACATAAAATAATACATAGAACGAGTCACACTCATAGAAGCAGTCTTAAGAGTTATCAATTTGACCAATACCTATATGCAAGCACCAAGAACTGAAATGTTTCTTCTATGTGCTGGAGCATGTTGCCTAGTCATAGAATCAAAGACTCTCCCAACTAGAAGGCCCCTTAAGGTTGTTTGAGGGCAACCACTCACTCTGTAAGAACTTCCTCTAGAAAATTCCTGACAAGAGGCTCTCTCTAACCTCTGCTAGAAAACTTTCAGTAAGAAGGCATACTCTACTGGGTGAAAGAGCATGCCCATAAATAGACAACAAAAACCAATAACTTTTCCTCAAGCTGAGCTGGCTTGGCTTACCAAGTTTTCCATCCACCAATTCTAGTTCTATACAAATGCATCCCAAAGTCAGACAGATGTATAGTTTCTAGAATATATGCTGCTTTGAATCTGAATTATATATGCCACTGCTTCTGGAGTTACAGGATGATTCAAATTACAAATTTCAAATAACATGAACTATTATTTTTTAGATAGACTATAATCGAATAAATGGGCCTTAGAATAAAATAGGCAAAACAGGTCACTTTTTACACGGGTAGCCCCTCCAGTATCTGGAGTCAGCTAACCTGTAAAATTCCCCAGACTTAATGACTTTTTTCTCAGGTAAATAAGAAGGATTCTTTCAACAGTTCTTCATTTTACATTAATTCTGGTTGTCTTCCTCTAAAGACACTCTAGCTTGCTATATCCTATTATAATGTGTCACTTAGAATATAACAAAGTTTCCTGCATTTGACCTAAGCACAAAGATACAGACGAATCATCTACACACCTATCAACACAAAGTAAGACTATAAGTTTTCAGTATCAGTATTAGCTCAACTGGTGTCTGCACAAATAAATAAAAATTGCCCCTTCCCAAGGCGCTCTCTACTGCCACCTACCAAAAAAAAAGTTATGATTATACAAATCTACAATGACTATGATGTGAGAGGCACCCACTAGAGTTGTACAGTGCAAAACCTGCACATCAGGAAGCAGCACTGGTTATAGCAGTTTCATCACACTAACATTTACTAGGCACCTACTAAGTACTAGAAATTTCACCACTTATGTAATGTCTAATCTTCCCAACAACTCTGCAAGGTAAGTATTACAGCTAACACATAGAGGGCACTTACTATATCACAGACTTCAAGTTTTGCGCTTTGCATATACTAATTCTCCCTAAAACAATGTAAGCACACATTTCCACATCTTGTCAAGAAACTATGGAACTTTCTTTTTTTTTTTTGGAGAGGAAGATTAGCCCTGAGCTAACATCTGTTGCCTAATTAAAATAACAATGAGATACCATTATACAACTATTAGAATGGCCAAAATCTGGAACACCGACAACACTAAACGCTGGTGAAGATGTGCAGCAACAGAAACTCTCATTCACTGCTGCTGGGAATGCAAAATGGTACAGCCACTTTGGAAGACAGGTTGGCATTTCTTACACAATTAAAACTAAATGTATTTTACCCACATGATCCAGTAATCATGCTCCTTTGTATTCATTCAAATGAATGAAATTGAAAACTTATATCCACAAAAAAAGCTGCACATGAATGTTTATAGCAGCTTTATTCATAACTGCCCAAACTTGGAAGGAATCAAGATATCCTTCAGTAGGTGAAAGAATACACAAACTGTGGTACATCCATACAATGGAATATTATGCAGCAATAAGAAGAAATGTGCTATCAAGTCATGAAAAAACATGGAGGAAACTTAAATGCATACTGCTAAGTGAAAGAAGCCAATCTGAAAAGGTTTCATACCGTATGATTCCAACTACATGACATCTGGGAAAGGCAAAACCATGGAAGCAGTAAAAAGATCAGCGGTTGCCAGGGGTTGAGAGTGGGGGAGGGAAGGAGAGATGAACAGGTTGGGCATAGTGGAATTTTAGGCAGTGAAACCACTCTTTATGATACTGTATTGGTAGCTATATGTCTATTCATTTGTCAAAACCCATAGAACTACACAAAACAAAGAGTGAATCTTAACGTAAACTATGGACTTTAGTTAATAATAGTGTATCAATATTGGCTCATCAATTATAACAAATGTACCACACTAATGCAAGGTATTAATAATAGGGGATACTAGGGTGAAGTAAGGGGGTAAATGTGAATGCTCTGTACTTTCTGCTCAGTTTTTCTATGAACTTAAAACTGCTCAAAAAAAGAAGTTTATTAATTCAAAAAAAGGCAGATAGAAAAAAAATATGGCAGAACCTCAAGGACTGACAACTTAACTGGCATCACAGAAGGAGAGGAAAGAGAATGCATAAAAAAAATATTTGAAGAAATAATACCTGAAAATTCTCCAAATTTGAGAAAAGACATAAATTTACAGATCCAAGCTGACAAGAAACTTTCAGATATTGAGGTATATGGGGTAGCTATTCTGGTTTAAACCTGATTTGGCCTGAACTAAAGAAGCCTGATTTATGGCCTATCAAACATACATTATACATCTGCTTTAACTATTAAAAAAAAGAATGCATTAAGCATTATCTCAACATAAAAGAATGCACTCTCTTGAGACAAGAATGCATACTTCCCCTACTACAATGCCAGTATCTGTAATGCCCTATCCGTAAGGCCAGTATTGGCACTCCTGAAGATAAGTTCCCTTTCCTGGACATCGGGGTCATGTTGACCTGCTAATCTGCAACTGAATACCTCTTTGAAACTTTGATGAATATGTATCCTGGGTGTGTTTCATGTACGTTCTTTGTTCTAAAAAGGTATAAAACTGTACTGAAAACCATGGTTCTCCAGGATGCTTTCTTTCCTTGTGGAAACTGCCTTCCGGGTTTACGGGCTCAAGCAAAATTGACCTTCTCTCTCCTATCTCTAATATGGTTATTGGTTATTTGTGTCAACAAAGTTCAGTAAACCCGCAAATAGAATAAATGCAAAACACACACACTCACTCACCTTGGCACATCATCGTCAAAATTCTGAAAACTAAAGATAAAGCAATAATCTCAAAAGCCAGAAAAACTGACATATTCCTATATATGGAAATGAGTCAAACAACCATTGACTTATCAGAAATAATGCAGGCTAATTTCACTTGTTTCTCCATAAATTTCCTTTCATGAGTTTCTCCCCAATACTTCATAATCTCAGAAAGCATTTTTGTGTGGGGATGTGCTAATGGTGAAATATGAGATATCTACAGGAGTCTGTGTGTGAAGATGAAAACAAAAGCATGAACTTGCCCCTTATTTATAACATCTCTGCTTACTTGGTGCTCCCAGACCGTAAAGGTTAGCTTGACTAAGGCTAAAACTGAACTAATATAATTATTTTGAATGGGGAAAATGCTATTAAATATATTTTAAGAAATAATCTGGGACGTGCAAGTCCAAAGACTAGATAATTTAACGGTTTTTTTCTTGTAATTGCATAAACCAGATACCATGTCAATAATTATTTGATCTGATATCAATTTTATGTAAATGTCACAAGGTCTAAAACTTAACAATCTTTAACACCAAACTAAAATCTTGTTTATTTTAAAAGGCTCTGAAAATTCAGAAGCTAAAGATTTCCAAAGACAGTGAAAAGACATATTAATCCAGTGCACTGTGAGTCAGAAACGCCAAGGGCCTGGCAAGGTGTGCTGATGTGACCGCACAGGTAAAACAACACTAGAGGAGAAATAGGAACTCTGCCTTCCTTTCTATCACATTGTTAGGTAAAAGCAACTGGGATAAGTGCTAACAAAAACCTGGGGCATTGCTTCTTCTTGCTGACAGAAATGTGATAAGTTAATGACAAGCTTTACCAAAGTCAATTATGCTCCCATTCAGATGTGTCCTCTTCCCTACAATAACCAGTCACATGTTCCTCTCTCTTATCCACTGGCCCTGCAAGCACTTCGTATGCTACTTGAAAGAAGCACATATCTAGTGTAGTCTAACTAGCCTATAAACAGTCACTATTTGAAGCTCTAAAGGCTTGGTTTGTAGTCAGAGCCACCAACTACCTGTTAATGCCTACTGTTACAGGCAAGCCATTTTACCTTTCTAGACATCAGTGTCCTCATCTGTAAAATAGGGAAATAGGTAAAAATATGATCACTAGCTCTAATACCATAGTAAACTATCACAAATTTATAAACTTTATACTTCCTTAATATAGATGTTGATGTACATTGTTTCCTTACTGGGTTCATAGTTTTCATCAAATTTTTAAAGGGGTCTATATTACAAGAGAATGGTAAGAACCACTGATAAAATATTAAACAGAGAAATCAATAAAAATATTATTTCCTTTTAAAAAACAAAGCTCATTACAATACAGCTTTTAAATAAATTGGGTTTTCTGAACACACTGTCTAAAAAAAATCAACATGCAGCTTTATTAAGCAAACGTAGTAAATTCAGAGTTGGAAAGAGCACTGACAAATTAAATCCAATTGTAGTAGGCTATATACACTACATTTTGCCCTACAATACCTATTTTTCACTTGAACTGTTCCCATGCCATTTTGGCTCTTCTGAGCTCCAGATCCCCCTAACCAACTACCCACCTGACATCTCCACTTGGGTGCCTCAATCTGCTCTTCCAAATCTATTCCTTCCCCAGTTTTCCTCACTCCCTAAGCGGTACCATCATGAACACAACTCCTCAAACCAGAAACCTTAAGTCATTCTTGACATTTCATTTTCACTGACCTGACACATCCAACCTCTCACCAAATTCTATCAAATCCATTTCTAAATCTATCTCAAATCATCCCTCCCCCTTTTTCTCAACTCCACTGCCCCCCACTGGAGGCAAAACCATCATTTGCTGTTGCCTGGATCTCTGTCTTTGATCCTTAAATGGTCTTAAATTCTCCTCATTGCTACACAGACAGCCTCATAGCCCAGAGGATATCACGGCAGAGTGGAAATCAGATCCCGTCATCTCCCTACTTTAACGCCTTCTATTGCCTTCCACTGAATTTAGAATAAAACCCCACCTCCTTCACAGAGCCCACAGGGCCCTGGACTACCAGAATGTTGGTTCTTAGATCGTGCCAAGAGTTTTGCTACCTCGGAGCCTTGATATAAATTGTTCTATCTGAATGTTCTTCAAAGGACACATTAAATGAGGACAAGCTTTCACATCCTTAAAAACAAAACTCCATTGACTTGACCACGTTATGAAAAGGGAGTTTACATTTTTTTAAGTTAAAAATCCTAGAATTTATGTACTTAGTGACTCTACTTTCCTGGAGTCACTCAAAAGAATGGAAAGGGGAGGGAATAAGACAGGTCTTCCAATAGAACGCCACCAAACATTCTGGGGGAGCAGGTTACTCGGGCAGAAATTCCCTGGCGACCCGAAGAGAACATCCATTCCTCCCCGGACCTTGCCCACCCGCGACCAAGTCCGAGGCAGCCGAGCTCGTCCGCGAAGCCCTCCTCCGCCCCAGGCCGCCTCGCGCTTATGGCGCCCGCCCAGCTTTCCCAAGAGCTGAACTCCAACTCGGTGGGTCACCACTGCGCGAAGAAAGGGAATGACCTGCAAGGTCAGAAGCAAGCAAACCCTGGTCTCAACGCTCAACTGGAAACTGCAGCGAAATCACTGTCGCCAGCGCCTTGCAAGTAGGTTTTCTCCTCAACCCCAACCGTCCTTCCGGGCTGGGTTTTTATCCAGTCCGCTTTATGGCTGATGAGACCCCCGACTCTCCGCCGACACGGGACGCGAGGCCCGGCCTGGGAGGGCAAGGCCCCGAGGGGCGAGGAGAGGCGGGGCGGCGGCGCTCACCTCGGAGCAGGGCCATGGCGGCGCAGGGCTTCTCCGGCTATGCAGGGAGGCCACCGGCCGTCACTCCATCCTTAAGGGTCGAGGGGCGGCGCCCTGCGAGGCCGCGCCCCCGCCCTTTCACCTTCTCTCCGGCCCGCCGGGCCCGCCCGCGGCCTCCCCCGGCCGACCGGAGCTCCTCTCCCTCGCGTCACCCCGTGGGAACCAAAGGTACCAAAACTCGCCCCGGATTCGGGCCGTGGAGGAGGGAGCGTTCCTTGCGAGCGGATTTTTGCCTCACATTATTTTTAGAGACTTTACCTCTGTTTCCAAATCGAGAGAATGATTTGACTCTACCCTATCCATCCTATCCCTGCTTGTATAAATCCCCCCCAACAAGTAATCAACTTTCCCCTTCATCCTTGCCAGAGGGTTCTTTTACACATGCGCCTACACGGCCCCACGCCAAGATGACGCCAAGACGCCGAAAGCAGAAGTGGCTTGAGGGAGGCGGGGAGGGGGCGGGGGCGGGGGCGGGGCGCCGAGGAAGGCGCGAGAGGATTGGCTGAGCCTCTCCCGCAGGGCTGCGGTGGGCGGCTGCCCAGACCCGGGGCGGAGGCCGCGTCCGTCTGGCGGGCGTGGGGGCGGGGGCGCGGGGGCTTGCACGCGGTGCCGGGTGGGGGCGGTAAGGTTGGCATGTCAGGCGTGCTTAGATTGTTGTAGGGCTGGGTTGCCCTTTGGTCCTCGATGCAGTCCCCGGATGAGCTTGCAGTATTTTCCTTATATGATCAGGCCCCATTGCTGGCGGCGCCGCTTGCCTGGAGCCTGAGAGGATTATGAAAATGTGTCAGGCGAGGTGGGCCCGGGGGACCGGGGGCGGGGAGATTAGGGGCAGCGGGTTAGGCTAGAGATCAAGGAGGTTTAGGGAGGCCTCTGCCGCTGTAACTGTGAACCCTGGTCAATGATGACCTGACCACTGCGCAATCTGAGTTCTAAGAACCAGTGATGGAGTGTGTACTGAGACCGGGCGAGCAGAGACGCGGTGGATCCGCAGGGCCAGTGCTCCGAGGTGGGCCAGGCTGCCTTCGGCTTGGTTCCCGTCGGTGTGGGAAGGGGTGGTGGGTGACCTTGAGGTTTTGTGTGAGCCGTCAGGGGATGCCTGCCCTAGACTCCTGCTTTTCAAACGCGTTGGTGGCCCTCACTCAATGTGTGTGTTTGTTTATTAAATCCAGCCTTTTTATTATGAAAACTTTAGGACATACAGAAATGTGGAAAGACTTCTCCGTGAACTCCCACGTATCCACCACCTATATGCTACAATTGTTAACATTTTGCCGTATTTGCTATATCACATCTGTCCAACTGGTTTTCCATCAAACCACTTTTTTCTTTTCAGTTAGGAAGAGTGGCCCTGAGCTAACATTTGTTGCCAATCTTCCTCTTTTTGCTTGAGGAAGATTGTCCCTGAGCTCACATCTGTGCCATCTTCCTCTGTTTTATATGTGGGACACTGCCACAGCATGGCTTGATGAGCTGTGTGTAGGTCCACACCCAGCATCCAAACCTGAGAACCCCAGGCTACCGAAGTAGAGCCTTCAAACTAAAGCACTGCGCCACCCGGCTGGCCCCCTCCTTGTTTTTTTAAATGTAGATCTCTAGTACAGTTCACTCTGTGAACGCTTTGGCTTAGGTCAGTATTTTCAGCTCTTAGGACAAAACTTCCATGCAGCCAAATGTACAAATCTTAAATTGGATGAGTTTCATAAATGTATACACTCATAACCCAAACCACTATCAGCTATCAAAATATAATTAGAACATGTCCATCATCACAGAAAATTACTTCATTCCTCTTCCCACCCTTCATCTCCCAGTCACTCATTGTTCTGTTTTTCTATCTATCTATTGCAATTTGACCCTCTGGTTTATTCCTTTTCTTCTTTCTGTTGCTTTAATTTGAGGGAATGCAGGACACTGACAGTCAATTCAATACACAGGTAAGTTCTGAGGGTTATTAACTTTGAAAAATATGTAAACTACTTTTTCACAACAAGTGTATATGGTCAATGGAATTCTGATGATGAGTAGTGTTAAAAAAACAAAACTCACCGGGGTAAATTTGAAGACCTAATTGGCTTTATTAGGCAATTCATGGACCAGGCAGTGTCCCATCTAGCAAGCAGAGAGATACTCTGAGGAGTTATACAAAATGGAAGGTTTTTATAGGCAGAAAGAAGGTAGGGCAAGAAGGTATTAATAAAAGAAAAGAAAGAGTTCTTTTTAGGCGGGGGGGGGGCGGGGAGGGGAATGGCAAGGGTTTTATCAGGCAGATGACCTCGCTACTGCTAATCGGGTAGTATGATTCAGATTGATTGCTCAAAGGTTGAAAACTGCAATCAAGTCTTGTTTTGCATCATGGGGGCCTTTTTTGGGCCTGTTATTTCTTTTTTTAACAGTAGATCAAGGCTTCTCACATACCAGATGACGATTTTTTCCACCTGCGTCTTCTGAGCGATGAACAGGGTGTGATAATAAAAGCTGGACACTGTGCACCCAGCATTGTTCCAGGCACTCACATACACTGTTTATAATTTGTATACCCAGGGGACATAACAGTTATTATATAAAATAGAATAACATTTGTCGACTGAAAGAAGGAGTCTGGGTGATATTAGTGAAGGAGCTTATTCAATAATCAGCGTGAAGACTTCGAACCCCAGGAAACCAGTTCAGCAGAGCGCTCTGATGGAGTTGCCCCGAGGGGTGTGAGTCTAAGTGCAGTTTATATCTCTTTCACAAACAGTGTACGTGCAGGGAAGAGGAAAAGAAAAAAACTTACAACTAGATTTCAAAATAAAGGGGTGGAGTACCTCTGGGCTTTTCTCTAGCTTATACATTGAAGGTAAGATAGACAAGAATTTCTTGGTTATACATCAAACAAGTTCAGAGATGCTGATGTTATCTATGTGGAGGGAGCCAAGGACCAGAGTTGTTAATTATTCCCTCAATCTCTAAGAAATGCTGCTGGGAAATGTGAGGCAAGGTATGTCTTTATCTCTTCCTGTTCTGGATCTGTCCAGCTGGCATCTTCAGTCATGACGTGTGGGGGTGCAAGGTCACTTTGACACAGACTGAGGATGGCCTGCAAGGCTGCTTCAGAGTACAGCATGGATTTGTATTGTACTGACTTAAAACCTGTGCAGTTTGCTTGCTAGATTCTCCCATTAGAGAGGGGTCCCAAACATCTGTCCACATGTACAATTCATACACATCAGACAAATCCAAGTTGAGGGATGTTCTGCAACCTCATGAAATAGGTGGGATTTTTTTCTTTGTAATTTTATGGATGAGAAAGCTTAGGCCCAGAGAAACCAAAGAACTTGCCAAGGCCTCAAATCTAGAACATTGCTGAATAAGAATTTTGAACACTTGATAGTCAGACGCCAAGGTCCATGTTGTCTCGGGGCTTATGGGATGTGGAATATAGGAGTGGAGATAGAAAAACGGACAGGTAGCATTAACTAAGGTGTATGTTACACAAAATAGGAAAGGAAGTAAATGTTAAGTGAATCTTCTTTGGAGGACAAAATAAAGTATTTGGGAAGAAACCTTGGTAAGAATAAATTTCTATACTTGCCAGTTGGTGGCTTAGGTTCATAAGCTTTATTTGCTTTTTGGTGGGGGTGTGTGTGAGATAAAGGGTGGTTTCAGGTAGGTAGAGAAGTGAGGCAATATGTTACTACTGGATCAGCCCTTCTCAAGGGTTCCTACAGAAAATGATTTGAGTGACTATTTTCTCAATTGTCTCAACGATGGTACAGAACTAGTCTCTTTATCAAGAACGAACATCTTTCCCTCTGGTTTCATTGGCCAGAATTGAGTTGTATGCCCATGCCATAGCTGCAAAAGCAGCTTGGAAAACAGGTATCTGACCTTTTCAGCTTCTATCTTGGAAAGCAGGCTCTGCCAGTAAGGATGGAAGCTAGAAAACACTGTTGGGTAGGTGACCATCAGTGTCAGCCACAAAGGCCTTTATTAGCAATTAGGTGGTAGACTTTCATACAGCCTGCACCCTCTCATATTGCATATTGATGTCTCTAAATTGCTATGATGAATTTGGACTTTCATATTTTAGCCCATGATTGAGAATTTGGAGCTCTAGCCTTTTGGCACTACCTGTCAAGCAAGAGTTCTGCTTTAGCAGTGTCCTTTCATTGGAAACACAGAACTGTTTGTGTGGTTAGTGGACATTTGGTCTTGTCCAAAATGTCCGTGGAGACATTGGGTCCATGCCAAATGGTTCTTGTCAAAAATGTGCATGCATAGAAAATATCCCTGGGTTCAAATAGCCCATAACGTTTCTTATACTTTTGGTTTGTGGGATTAATACATAAAAAAACTACCATGTTTTATTGATCTAATAATTGTGTTGTGACTGTATTGCCAATAATAACCCTTCTTGCCTCGGTAGCCTAGTTGGTAATGGCACACAGTGTTAGGTAGATGGGTGGGGGTTTGAATCTTGCAGAAAAGCAGGATTTATATTAACTATGTGCACTGAGGAAGAGTCCTAGGGTTAGAGAAATGCACAGAGGACAACAAGTCGAGGATGGGATCTCGTGATGCATGGTGTGTTAATATGTCCCTGGACGTTTGGTTGGATGTGGCTGGGTCATTCAGTAAGGCTGGAGTTTGAAAGGGGGAGCTTGGTCAGCAAATGCATTGAGGTAAGCACTTTATAGAGCATCTTGCTTGGGAGGAGTGAGAACAGGTGTGGTTCTCCTGCCACATAGCAGTCAGATGTAATAGCTGCCGTGAAGGGGGTACCAGTCATCTAATTAACACCCCTACAACTATCCCGTTGCCTGGGGCTGCTTGGCAGTGTTTCCCTTGAATGATGTCCTATAGAGGTATGATTGCAGTAGACCAAAAGAAGTGTCTGCCACTATTTGGAGAGGTTTTAGTGGGTGTGACTCCCACACTTAGCTGCCTATCAGTGTGGACCACCATGCCCTTGTCTGGTGCCTACCTACCGGCTAATCCAGCCTGGCT